CTTTCAACAATAAAGATTTTTTTAAAAAAATAACATTGAATAATTAAATTAATTTTGAAAGAATCCCACCTGTGTGTTATGATTTTCTGTGCAGATGTTTAGGTTTTCGTAGTCTTGGGCATCATGTAAAATTTTTTTATAGTGTTTTAGTGTCACAGCACATGAAATAGAGCAGACAACACTTCTTACATCAGCTCCTTCAGGCCACAGATTGAGAAGCAAGGACAAGGTCTGATGTATCTGCAATAAAAAATTTTTTTAAAGACCTAGTGATTACAAGGGACAAGGTTCAAAGCTCAGGTGATATTTAACCCTAGAAAAAGAAGTTTAATTCTTCCCACTAATAATATTACTACTGAACTTTAATCTTTCAAATAATTAAGGAAAATATAAAAGAAATGCCTAAGGAAGAATAGAACAATTGGGAAAATGTTTAATGAGAAATGATAATGAGTGTATCTAGCTAGGTTCTAACTATATTTTAATAACTATTTCTCCTCCTGATCTGTATACACTTTAACAAAACTGGATAGGCCATACCCAGTTTGCAAGTCCATGAATGATTAACTTGTAAATTCTTCAATGTTGCCAGTTCAGACAGTTTTCAGTGGCCACTGAGGCAACTGACACAAAAATGATGTATTTGCCTGATGTTCAAAGCTATGTTCTCATAAATTGATAATTATAGACCACTGTTCCTGAAAGTATTATCACTACAACCTTCATGCTTTGGAGAAAGTTGGAAAGGAGCAAGAAATTGAAAAGTTCACAAAGTAACTAGACAAGAACAGGATGCAGACTTACAATAGTTTTTCTCTATCAATGGCTGGGTATTAATTTCATTCATTTAAAAATGTTTGTCTAGCCCAGCCAGCGTGGCTCAGTGGTTGAGCGTCAACCTATGAACCAGAAGGTCACGGTTCGATGCCTGGCCAGGGCACATGTCCGGATTGTGGGCTCGATCCCCAGTGTGGGGCATGCAGGAGGCAGCCAATCAATAGTTCTCTCTCATCATTGATGTTTCTATCTCTCTCTCTCCTTCTTCCTTACTCTTTGAAATCTATTTTAAAAATTTTTAAAAAGTCTAGTGTCTACATCCTATGTAAGGTGTGCAGGAATATTAAGATTGATAACATGGCCTTTTGAGTTTTGAACAGAGTAGTGCCATGATATTAAATTTACACTTTTAAAAGATCACTCTGATTACTGTGTAGAAAGTAAATCATAGTAGATCAAAAGCAGAAACAGAAATACAAGTACATTGATGTGTCTTAGTCTACTGCATTTTTTCATACAAGAAAGATTTGATAGAATCTCTAATGTCATAGTGATAGAAATGGTGACAATTTGCCAGGTTCGGGATGCACAGTGACAGGATTTACTAGTGGATTGGGTGGGGGTATGAGGGAAAGAGTGAAGTCAAAAACACCTCCTAGGTTTATATACTGAACAACTGTAAACACAGAGATAACATTAACTGATAAGTGGAGATTTCAATGGAATGGGTTTGGACTCAAGGTCTTAAACTTAGCCATGTTAATTTTGTGATGCCTATTAAAAATCCATGTGATAACCAGCATAGCTCAATGGTTAGAGTGTTGGCACATGCACCCTCTGGTCAAGGGCACGTACCTGGGTTGCAGGTTCAATCCCTGGTCCAGGTCAGGGTGTGTGCAGGAGGCAACCAATTGATGTGTCTCTCTCACATTGATGTTTTACTCTCTTCCTCTACTTTCTCTTTCTCTCTCTCTCTCTCTGTCTCTCTCTATCTCTCCCCACCCCGCTCCCTCCCTTCTACTTTCTCTAAAACTGAATGGAAAAAATATTCTCAGGTGAGGATTAACAACAACAAGAAATCCATGAGGAGATGTTTAATAGGCTACTGTCTATGAGAGAAACTAAAACAACACACCTAGTCTTTCAAAAAGAAGACTGTGGAAGGGAAATATCAGATAGTGAGGTTGGAATAATCAAAAGGATTAAATAAACACTGACTTAGGTTCCTCATGAGAGATTACTCAAGTATCAATGGCTTAACTTCCATACTAGCTACATAGCTTTCCTTTTCAGAAAACTAAAAATTTCCTAGCTTTTAGGTATACATTTACACAGTAGTCACCCATATATTAAAAAATAAAAGTTTGAGATCTTAAAATTATCACACAAGCTTTTTTCCTCCAAATTTACTGTAAGTTTTACATAATTTTGGGGGGGTAGAACATCTCTAGGGTTTTGTAATCATTAAGTTTAGCAAGACTCCCTATGCCTCAGTGCTATGCAGCTTGAAGAAGAAAGTCCATATAATCAGCAAGGACATGAATGTTGATTTAAAAAATGTCTGTCTTCTAGAAGCAATAAACCATTAAAAGTACATTGCCTATGTGCTGACTTCAGTTTCCAAATAAATGTGTTGTTACCTCTTTCTGCATTTCTCCCAAGTTTAGTTTCAAATGACCATAGAGAAATATTTCTCTCTCCTGTGACCTTTGGTAAAACTCTATTATGTAGGCATGTAAGGCATGTTGCAGTTGTATCTCATGCTAAAAAACAAAACACATAAGTAAGTGGTCTGGTTCAAATAAAAATAGCTATTGCAAACCTCTAGTTAAAGTAAACACAAGGTGGAAAATTATGTTTATTATTATTTCCTACAGATAAAAAAAATCCATTAATTCAAGCTAAAATAGACTTCTACTCCTTTTGTTTGAAATACTCACTGTTGAGGTTACTAGAATGAATATAAGAAGAGAAATAAGAGAAATTAACATGCTTGTAATTCTAATAAAACCAGCCTAATAAAACTAAGAAAGTACTGGCTTTAGTAGTACTATAATTGTTCTATATTGCCCCATGCTGATATGTTATTTATTTACAAAAAAAGAAAGAAAAGTTTAAGTAATATTGTCAAGCCTGGCTTAGTATTTATTCACAGCTATTTTTTAATAGATACAACTACTCAAAATAATTGCAAAAAAGACAAATAAAATGATGAAATATTTTCTCTACTAGCTATCTTAATTTTAAAAGTGATAATACAGACTAATCATCCCAGATAATATATGTATACATATATACACTTATGTGTGAAATATATACACAAATGTATGCAAATTTAATATATAGGAGTATATAAATGAATGTGTATGTGATGTGAATGTGTACATATGTATGTACAGATACATGTAATTTATGTACAAGGCACTGACTGGGAATTTCCCACTGTGTCCTCACATGTCCTTGGCCTCTAAACTGTTCCTCTGCAGTGCCTATTGTACTTGACCTTAGCCCATACTTTTCCTCCCCACTACTCAAAATTGCCCAAAGGCTTAATATGCAAGAACGTAAGCTAACTTAAATTCTGCTCTCTTTTCCCATGTTAGAATATTCCTTCAGAGTGTTCTTATGCCCAGAATTTTTGAATAAACTCTTACGGCTATTGGTTCTCTGGTTAATTTTTCCACATTTATGTTGCTCATTTATTCTGGGTAATTTAATGTAACTTACCTTTTCAAAAAACTGTTTGTGCATATAGAGACTTGAGGCGCAGTATCCATAAATTCTAAGGACATCGGACTCTATTCCCAAAATCTGTACAATATTGATTTTCTTCTGAAGAGCATGCATGATCAAAATGTTTAAAAAATCTGTTTGATGAGTTGATATTCCCTTATCTGAGACAATGAGGAAATATGGATAACATTCTTTAAGAAATATCTCCCATTCTGGTGTCAGACAGTTGGAAAATTCTGTATGAATAGTGACATCAGTGTTGTATTCTAAATGATAAATCAATATGGTACGAAGGGCCAGAATTTCAGGGTAATTATAATACAGATTTTCTGCATCCTGTAGATAAAGGAAATCAATGTTAATTTTAGAAATAAAAATAGAATATCTAGTTATTTTTCTAAATATTAGCATTGCATATAAATTGTTGTATTAACATAATACAAAGAGTTAAAAATTCAAGGTTATTAACTTAATTTTTCTGAATACTGTAGAACTGTCAGATAAAGACTCATTAGCTATTTCTCTATCAATAATACTTGGTATTATTCCTATTAGTATAGACTTTAATTACAATCTTAATAAGCAAAATATATAAAAGAGTAAGTAATGACTGATAACACTTAAAAATAAATATTTTTTCTTAGCCTCTATAAAATGAGAATAGAAAATTAAATCTGTTTGTTACCTTAAAAAAAACTAATACAAATTTGGCTTCCTTTTGGATGAAATCATGCAGAAATTGTTCTACAATATAAAAGAAGTGAAGAGTTTGTCCTTTCTTGAAGTTCACATTAAGAAAACAAGCGATGAGTAATGAATCTCCATCAATCAAAAAAAATTCAGACTCAACAAAGTCTTTAAGTAAGCTCGCCATTCTGAATAAAAATATAAAACACATAATGCAAAGATTATAAAGATAATAGTAGCTTGAGACAAAAATCCCACAGTTCAATTGGTTTCACAAATTTTCTTCTCGTTTAAGCAAGAATCTTAAAGAAAAACTAACCACACAGTTCTATTATATTTAAGTAACAATATTCCAGGGCGTTCCTATTATTCTGCAATCATAAATAAGCCCTTAGTTAAAGGTATGACTGATGCTCTAGTGAAATTCATTGGTGTAAGCATAAATTTATGCAAAAAAGTGCCTCTCTATTTTAAACTTATACTTACTGTTTTTGTACTTCCAGTGTGAAAAATTAAAGCAGTCATAATCTTTGGTCAATTATATGTATGGGACTATCTCATTGTGCATTTTAAATTAACATATAATGAAGAGCTGTAAACTCTTCATCCACTCCAAATATTTTCTATAACTTATATCTACCCTATGAGATGTTGTCAAAACTTACCTCCCAAACTCTCCCTCAGAGGCAACCACTGCCTTGAATTTATTTTTCATCATACTCTTTCTCACTTTTTAAATGTTTTTATGACAGTATATGTATGCCTTGTTTAGGATCTTTATTAAAAGAACAATGTCTTATCCGAGTTTTATGGAATTTTTAAACTTAATTACCAATTACTATTAAAATTCTAGTATATGGTTACAGGAAGCTATATTTAAATAACTTTACTGCTGTATAATAGCAATTATTTATCTACATCAATATTTATCTTTATCTTTCTCCTTTCAATGAGCATTTTTTCTTCCATTTGTTGCTGTTACAAACTGTGCTGCAATGATCATTCTTGTGTCTGTTTCCTAATACACAGGTGAAACTCTAAGGTCTATTTATAAAAATGTAATTACTAATTTGTACACCATAAGGCAATAGCAAATTATTTTCTAAAGCAATCATATAGAGTTATACCTACATTAACAGGTGTCAGAAATTCAATTCATCTACATAATTTTCAACACCTGGTGTTGTACAAAACATGAACTACATGCTCCTAATTTTAAATTTTTTTCTTTTGGTTTTTGTTTCTTCAGTTTTGTGGCTAAGATGTGTGAAGCTACTACATGCTACTAAAAAAAAATTAAAACTGCAGAAACTTGAATTCTGCTGTGCTTTTTTTTTCAGAATTTACTCTTTGCACATTTTGACACATAAAGTAATATATCAGACTGCATTCTCTGCCGTCAGACTGCTGAGATTAGAATCCTGGCTCTGTTACATACATGTTCTGGGAGTTTGTTTATTTATTTATTTTTATCTTCTAATATGTTTATTTTTTAATTAAATTTATTGGGGTGACATTGGTTTACAAAACCTTTCAGGTTTCAAGTGTACAATTCACCAAAACATCATCTGCACACTACATCATGTGCCCATCACCACAAGAAAAGTCTCTTTCAGTCCCTACTCTCCCTCCCCCTTCCCTGTTTGCTCACCGCCACCTACCCCCACTCCCTTTCCCTCTGGCCATCACCACACTGTTGTCTGTGTCTACGTGTTATATAATGTGTGTGTGTGTGTGTGTGTGTGTGTGTGTGTGTCTATATTTTTTTTGCTTAAAACCTTCACCTTCGCCCTGACCAGTTTGGCTCAGTGGATAGAGCGTCATCCTGCAGGCGGAAGGGTCCCGGGTTCGATTCCGGCCAAGGGCATGTACCTTGGTTGCGGGCACATCCCCAGTCGGGGGTATGCAAGAGGCAGCTGATCGATGTTTCTCTCTCATCGATGTTTCTAACTCTCTATCCCCTTCCTTTCCTCTCTGTGAAAAATCAATAAAATATATTTTAAAAAAACAAACCTTCACCTTCTTTCATCTAGCCCCCCCTATCTCTATTCCCCTCTGACAGCTGTCAGTCTGTTCCATGTATCCATGCCTGTTTCAATTTTGTTTGTCAGTTTATTTTGTTCATTATATTCCACATATAAGTGAGATCATATGGTATTTCCCTTTCTCTGGCTTATTTCACTTAGCATAATAATCTCCACGACTATCCATGTTGTCACAAAAGGTAACTTTCTGCCTTGGTTTGGCTCAGTGGATAGAGCCTGGGCTTGTGGACTGAAGGCTCCTGGATTTGATCCCGGTCAAGGGCATGTACCTACACTACGGACTCGATCCCTGGCCCTGATTGGGGTGCATACCCTGGTGGGGGTGCATGCCGGAGGCAACCAATCAATGTGTCTCTCTCACATCGATGTTTCTCTCTTGGTGTCTCTCCTTCTCTCTAAAAATCAATGGAAAAATACCCTCGGGTGAGGATTAACAACAAAAAAAGAAGATTCCATTTATTTGTTTGTGTGCTTACTTTTATGGCCAAGTAGCATTCTATTGTGTAAATGTACCACAGCTTTTTTATCCACTCATCTACTGATGGGCATTGGGCTGTTTCCAGATCTTGCCTATTGTAAATAATGCTGCAATGAACCCAGGGGTGCATATATTCTTTCAAATTAGTGTTTTGAGTTCCTTCGGATATACATATTCCCAGAAGTGAGATCGCTAGATCAGTAAGTAGATGCAGTTATAATTTTTTGAGGAAACTCTATGCTGTTTTCCACAGTGACTGCACCTGTCTGCATTCCCACCAACAGTGCACAAGGGTTCCCTTTTTTCTACATCCTTGCCAGCACTTGTTGTTTGTTGATTTATTGATGGGACTACATCAAACTGAAAAGCTTTTGCACAGCAAAAGAAAATATCAACAAAGTGAAAAGGGAACCCACTGAATGGGAGAACATATTTGCCAGTGATACATCTGATAAGGGGTTAATTTCCAAACTATATAAAGAACTTATACAACTCAACACCAGGAAAATGAACAACCCCATTAAAAAAAGGACCAGCTCTGGGACTTTAGATTACTTGCTTCTCTATTCTGTGCTACAGTTTCTCAACTTAAGTGGGAATTAAAAGCAGTTAAAATTTCATGTAGTTGCTATGAGGATTCATGAGATAAATATTTATACAATTTATAGAACTAAGTATTCTTATGTCATAATATATGCTTAAAATATTCATATCATAAATGATATTTTGTGTTTGTGTTTTATAATTGCATTCAATAGGCATTACAGCATATCTATTCTAAATTATTTTAGAAAATTGGAATGTGGAGGTAAGTGATATAAGATAAGATTAAATAAATCATCTATAACAAGAAATTCTATTTTCTTCATCCCTAGAGGCTAGCATATTAATGAGCACATAAAAATGGCTGTTGAGGGAATTCAATGATGCATTAGTTTGGTGTATTTGTCCTTGTTGCTATTAAATAATGTTTTGATATTAGTTAAAACACACCAAATTTCAATTTTATGAAACTTTCAAAGATTTTGACATGTAATATGATGCCAATTAAATTGCTACTTTAGTCTTGTGCAAGATTTAAAAAATGAATCTTTCCTCCACTTACACCCTTTCAAGTTTTCAGTATATTATTCCTTGCTACTGAATAAAAGTGATATAGTGGAATCCTTCCCAAGAAAAGAAAATATTTACCTATTTTCAGAAATATCAATCTCTTTCCCCACTTGCAATTTACCCAAAATGATTCTTAGCACGAAGAAATAAAAAAATATGCCACACAGAAGAAATGAATTATTTCTAATGATATATTACTTTGAAGGATTTGTGCTGTACTTACTTAGATTTTGACAGAGTTTTCCAAATCATCAATGAGAGGGCCCTCAGAATTTGCTTACATTCAGTTAATCCTTTAAAATAAGTAACAAGTTTAATACTCAATTTGAACATAATTTTAATTGATAATTCCTTCTGTTGCTAAGTTTGAGTATACTTATATTTTATACAATACTGCATAAGCATGGGTGAAATATTCTGTTACATGTCAAAAGAGAAACAGATTATGTTAAAAATGAGAATATGCCTATATTACTTACCAATAAGAATAAATATGGACAAGGTAAGCCAATCTTACAGTTTTAAAATTTGATTTCTCATAAACACAAAATAGTAAATTCCTAGTCGCAAATGAATTTTAATGATAAACATAAATACAAGTCCACAAAGACAAGAATGTCCAAAAAACTGAAAATTTAGCACTTTCAAAATTAATTCATATAAATATATAGAAAGATATCTTTAAACAGATATATAGATATAGATACAGTCTCTACCTTCAAAAGTTTTCTCATTAAACATAGATAATAAAATGGCAAATCCTGTATTTTTCTACTCTTCTGTATACTGGGGGAGGGGAGGGGAGAAAATTTGATTTAATTCTTTGAAATAAATTACTCTTGCAAATTTCTTTGTAATATCCCATGTCCTTGTTAAATGCATTCTATTAAGAAATTAGCACTTGGAAAGAAAACAAACATTCATCTATTTAGAATGTGAGATCTCAGGAAAAAAGAAGCAAGAATATTGAAACACTGTAGATTTTTGGGCATTTTTGTTACAGCATAAGTAATCTCTCATATTGTTATAACTGATATTAATTAATTGAGCCCTCACAATTGCTTCTTTTTCAAAGAAAGTGAATTTGTGCATAATTGAGGAGTGTTAGGTATTATAAAAGAATATTTTAAAAATGTGGGGTACCTAGACATGCCTATATACAGGTCCAGATATATTAATAATAGGTAGCTCCTCACTCCTAAAAACTACTTTGGAATTTATTAATCAAATAATTTATTAATCAAATGGTAAGGCTACACTGGGGTGTATATATTCATATTCATTAAAATTGTACTTATTTAGTATTTGTTACAATTAACATAGAAGTCTCCAAATGTCTTCATTGTTTTGTGACCTATAATTTCATACTTCCATTTTATCATTACTATTTTCATATCTATGCTGAGAGAAGCAACCCAACAAGCTAACATTGTGATTAGATACAGATGCAAGATTTAAAGTTTTGTGTAAGATAGCAGAAACATTTTCTGTTACTAGGTCTTAAGTTTTGTTTATTAAAAGCCTGCCTAACTGGTGGAGTCATGTGAAAATATTCATTTGGAAGAATATTTTAAAGTTTAGTCTCAATTGTATCAATAATTTTAAAAAACACATTAAGTTGGTCTAATGTATTTCTTTCACTTATTTTTATTTTAGTTTGTAAGAAGGTAAGAATAAGAAGGTAAGGTATTTTAATTTGAGCTTAGGTGAGTTATTAACATTTGCTTGGGTAAATGTTACTCATACACTAGAGGCCCAGTGCATGAATTCGTGCATTGGTGGGGTCTGGCCAGCCTGCCCTGATTGGGGCTGATTGAGGCCAGGCCAACCGGGGGACTGGTGTGGGGGGGGGCTCAGATGGTCAGCCAGCCCACCCCACCCTCAATCGGGGTGAGGGGGCTGATCGGGGCTGCAGTGCGCGTCAAAGCAACCAGTCATTCTGGTTTTTCTTGTTGTTCCGGCGTTCCGATTGCTTGGGTTTTATATATCTAGATCATCCAGATGAAGAATTCAAAAATCGAGAATTTAATCAAGGTGGTTAATAAAAGGTGGTTGGTGATGGGGCCACCCTAAATTTCAGTTGATCATTTTTAGGGGGAGGACTGATAATAATTTAAAAATACAGAAGAGTAAAAAAATAAAATGCCTTTAAAAAAAATACAGAAGAGTATAAAAAATAATAGCAAACATCTATGTATCAAACATTGGAATTGATAAATGTTAAAATTTTGTTCTTTTGCTTCAAATTTATTTATTAAAGGGGAATAAACATTGAAGATATAGCTGTATTCCCATTCTGCTGCCATAGTTGGCCACCGACATTGTGATATTTCTTTGCCATAATTTTGTATGAACACATATAATATCCTTCTTTGTCTCCTTCAGTTAAATGGTATCATTCCACAACTTGTTTTCTTCATTCAACTTTATGATTTTGAGATCTATCCACATTGATACACATTTTAGCAGCTGATAATACTCTACCATACAATTATATCACCTTCTGAAGCCAAATTCCATAATGATAGACATTTAAGTTGTTTTGTTTTCTTGCCATTGTCTTACAAATTATAGCATATTTTACATTATTTTTTCCTTTCTTTATTTTTTAATTGAATTTATTGGGTTGATGTAGGTTAATAAAAATTTTAATATGTCTCATGGAGCATAAGCAATAGAAATTCTCTAAGAGGTAAAGATTAGAGGGTAAGCAACTTTACTAGATAGTATTAAGTTCATATTCAATGTATTGAAATTGTCAAACTTTAAAGTATTTCTAATCTGAGAAATGTGAAATAGCATCTCAGAGTTCTAATTTATATTACTACCAAGGATGAATATCTTGTAGAATATATATCTGTTTTTTTAACATTTAAGTTTCCCTCTTGTGATTTGCTTATTTATGACCTTTGCCTATTTTCTACTGAGTTGTCTTCTCCAATTAATTTGTATACAATCTTTAATTTTCCTGGATAAATAATACTTATATTTATACATGGATTTATGGTTTCATTCCAGTATACCCCTTTAACATTGTTTGGCATCTTTAATATATAAATACTCTTTTATTTGATACTAGAGGCCCAGTGCATAAAATTAATGCATGAGGGGAGTCCCTCAGCCTGGCCTGCACCCTCTCCAATCTGGGACCCCTTCAGGGGATGTCCAACTGCCAGTTTAGGCCTGATCGTCCCCAGCTGCCCTCCCCTGCCAGCCAGATCACACCCTAACTGCCCCCCCCCGCCAGCCTGATTGCCCCCTAATTGCTCTTCCCTGACGGCCAGATCGCCACTTAACTGATTATTTCCCCACGCTGGCCTGATCTCGCCCCTAACTGCTTGCTCCCCGGCGCTGGCCTGATTGTGCCCCTAACTGCTTGCTCCTCCATGCCAGCCTGATTGTGCCCCTAACTGCTCGCTCCCCCGCGCTGGTCTGATCTCATCCCTAACAGCTTGCTCCCCCATCAGCCTGACTGCTTCTAACTCCTTGCTCCCCTGCCGGCCTGATTGCCTCTAACTGTCTCTGCCTTGGCCCCCGCCACCATGGCTTTGTCCAGAAGGAAGTTGGACGTCCAGAAGATGTCCGGTCGACCTGGTCTAATTAGCATTTTACCCTTTATTAGTATAGATGGTCAAATTTATCAAACTTTTAATTTTTTATTTGAAAATTTCTTTTATCTTGTATAAGAAATCAAGCACTTGTTTTATTTTGTTTAAGAAATTTACCTCAAGATCCTTAAGATATTCTGATGCATATTATTTTTGTAGAGGCAAGATAAAAGAGGAAATTCAGATTGAACATGTATTAAATTTAAAGATTAATTTGGTCAGACTAGATATACTTATAATATCAGATGATAACAAGGAAGAACATAAGGTATTTCTACATTTATTCAGTACAAATAAGTTCTTCTATAATGTTTCATAATTATTTTCTCATTAATATGTTTTTTTAATCCTCACCCGAGGATATGTTTGATTTTTAGAAGGGGGGGGGAGGGAGAGAGAAGCATTAATGTGAATGAGAAACATCAATCAGTTGCCTCCCATAGGTGCCCCTACTGGGAATCAAATGCGAAACCTAGGTATGTGCCCTGACTGGGAATCGAACCTGCAACTTTTTGGTGTACAGAACAATGCCCAACCAACTTTGCTACTAGGCCAGAGCTCTCTTTAATATGCTTTGATAAGTTTATTCCTCCGTATATTTTATGGATATTTTGTATGGATAATTTGATGGTTTTCTTTCTTTGAATATATTTTCCAATTAGTCATTTTTGTACTTAGAATCAGTATTATATTCTATACTAATGGATATTTCCATACTGATGGGATTAGGATCAATATTTTTTAACATGTCAATTTTACATTCCAAAAGAGATCTCTCTTATTTCTCAGTTGTGTGTAGATTATCTTGGACATTTTAGGTAGACTTTCTTTACTGTTCAGGGTAGAGTATAATAACAGTTATTTTTGCTTTCCTCCCTATCTTTACATATTTTATTTACTTTTCTGATGTTTTTTTTACACTAATTAGGCCTTCCAATATAATACTAGACTGTTGTGATGAAAGCAAAAATGCTTTCTTCTTCCTCATTCCAGTGGCAAAGCAGATGAAGTTTTACCATTATTCAATGTTTGATATAGATTTTTAGCAAGCTGCTTTTATTAAGTTTAGGTAACTATCTTATTTTCCCAGTGGGTGAAAAAATAGTCATGAGTAACTATTGAACTTTATTAAATGTTTTTCTGCAGCTACTGAAGTATTTTTCTTTAATCTGATAATACACACTATTAAATTATAAAATTTTTATATTGAGATATATATTAAAACTCAACATGGTATTGATTTTTTTACAATCAGTATAATTATATTATACTAGAGGCCTGGCACACGAAATTGGTGCACAGGTATGGTCCCTAGGCCTGGCCTGCAATCAGGGGCATCTTCCCTGGCTGCCTGCAGCTAGCCCTGCCCTCTGCTCCACCTACCCCGGTTCCCTGTTTGCCACTGGACGATCAGAGCCTGCCAGTTGGGGAAAGGGACCGAGAGGTGGTCAGTGAGCCTCATAGTGACTGGTCCAGCGGTCGTTCTGGTCGTTCTGCTGTTAGGGTCAATTTGCATATTACCCTTTTATTATATAGGATGTGCTAATACAGGGTGGAGCAAAAGTCAGTTTACAGCTGTTTATATGGAAAATAATACAATAAAAATAAATAATGTTGTAAGAATAAATTCTGTTTCACATACAACTGTAAACCCACTTTTGCCAAACCCTATAATTAAGTTAGGAACTCAAGCTTAACATTCCAGTACCCTTCAACCTTTTGAGTCAAGCAGAGTCATGGGGACCTGCTTTTAAATTCACAGTACTATAATCAGAATCATGTGAGAACCTTATTATAATTGTTGATTCTCAGTCCCTATCCCTAAAGATTTATTGATTTAACTGGACTTGTGAAAATTCAAAGAACTATACTAGAGTGGAGTGTAATAAATCTGTATTTAAGTGAAATAAAATCACCCATACACACCCATTTAAAAAAAATTTTCCTAACCTAATTTTTGTTTACAGTATAGATTCCAAGCCAAGCAAACTATTCAATCGGGGTCAACTAAAAACCAACAACAAACATCTTATCCTATATAATAAAGAGGTAATATGCAAATTGACCATCACTCCAACACACAAGATGGCCTGCAGAGGAGGGCAGTTGGGGGGAACCAGGCCAGCAGGAGAGGGCATTTGGGGGTGACCAAGCCAGCAGGGGAGGGCATTTGGGGGTGACCAAGCCAGCAGGGGAGGGCATTTGGGGGTGACCAGGCCTTCAGGGGAGGGAAGTTAGGGGTGACCAGACCAGCAAGGGAGGGCAGTTAGGAGCAATCGGGCTGGCAGGGGTGCAGTTAGGCATCAATCAGGCTGGCAGGGGAGTGTTTAGGGGGTGATCAGGCTGGCAGGCAGAAGTGGTTAGGGGTAATCAGGCAGGTGGGCAGGTGAGTGGTTGGGAGTCAGCAGTCCTGGATTGTGAGAGGGACATCCCTCTTGGGGTCCCAGATTGGAGAGGGTGCAGGCTGGGCTGAGGGACACACAGACACCCCCCACCCATGCACAAATTTCATGCACCAGGCCTCTAGTTTAATATAAAAGAGAAAAAGTGTGAAGGCACTGATATTGTTCAGAGAGAAGGAGAAAGAGAGAGAGGAGAAGGAGGAAGAGGAAGAAGAGAAGAAAGGGGGAGGAGGAAGGATGAGGGAGGGAAATTCATCCATGGGTGCTGCCTCACCTGATTTTTCTAAATCATAGCTGTTTTCGCCTGTAGCTTCAACTTCTGATGGCTTCTCTTCATTAATTCCAAACTCACATGGTAACTGCCCATAAGCTGTCTCTTCTACTACATCTTCTGAGCTTAGATGATCTTCTTCTTCAGACTGATCAAATGAGGACAAGCTCTCCATGCTCTCACTGTCATCAGAGCTGTCACTTTCAGTATCAGTCTCACTTTCACCTTCGCTGCTACTAGGGCTTGATTTTTCATTTGATATAGTAGGTTCAGAAGCCATGGTTCTGTAAAAGCAAAGCTCTTAATTATCACTTTATTTAAAATAACATCACAATATAGTTTACTTCTTCCAGAGGTAAAATCTGTTCAATTCCTTCTTTTCTCTAAATCTCCTCCATACCTAGTTCCCTAATGAGGGTACTTTTTCATAATCCTCTTCGCAAATATGTTTGCAATTAAATTACTTTAAAAAGATGAAGGAGTTGCATCAGAGGGGAAAACCTATTCCTGAAAATATATATGTGAAAGTCATATTTACAGAGACAAAAAAATAATGTACACATTTAAAGGAAGATTTCTAATAAATGGTGACATTTCTATGTAAATTTTAACTTGGGAATAGTCTACATAGATAAATTTCTAGCATTTTAAATATTACTTTGATTGTATTCTTTTATGTCATAGCTAAGCACATAGGCGACCAGATTATAATCAATTAACACTCTATCAATGCTTAAATTGCAGGTTTCTGTGTACTCAATGACTTCCATCATTTTTTTTCAAATGAGTTTATGAAATATGCATTGTCTCACTGTATAAACATGTGTACTCTTTATCTGTTCTTTTTTAAATAGTAAAATATTTAAGTGGAGACATTAAGAAAGCTACAAAAACTGGGATACTGTCTTGGTGGCTAGCAGGCTAACATAACTTCATGTTATATCAAAATGTTTATTCTCCAGCTTATGGAGGAAAGGATCAAGTGTGGTCCCTCAGAAATCAAACTAATAAAGTTTCACTGTATTCCAAAAGCAGATAGATACAATCATAGGTACTATATATACTCAGATTCACAAGACAGTGACAAGCAGAAGGAATGATTATCTGTAAATAAACTTCAATCTATTAATAGTGTTACCAAGAAATTTTAATGTCATGGACTCTTTAAATGAAATCACAGATTTATTACCAAATTACATAAAAATAAATTACACATACAGAATTACAAAAGTCAGTGTTTTATTTTTGTAAAAAAGAGCAGCTGAGAGTAACTTGGCTATACTACCAGTCACCCTACTGAGTGCCTATAATAATAAAATTAATTAATTAATTAATTAATCTACCCAATAATTATATTGGGTATTTATGATAGCATCAGGCACTATTCTAGGCAATAGCCTCAAGGCCTTTAGCTTCTAAGAAACATTCAATCATCTGTCAAAATTCCATATCCATTTATGATAAAAAAAAAAAAAAACTCTGGCCCAGCCAGAGGGGCTCAATGGTTGAAAA